TTGATAACTAATGACGGTAAGGCAAATTTGCTTTTTTTTAGTACCTCTGGCTTCATAATGTATTACTGATTGTAATCTACACCTCTATGTGAGGATATTCATGAAAACACTCGATTATCTGTTACGAATTATATATAGTATAGTCCGAATAACCATCACAATAGCTGATAGTCAGAAGCTTGTACCAATATTTCAGAATTAACGTGAAATCTTCCCTAAGTATGAGCAACAATATCACGCACCTCACTATAGGTAACTGAAGATCGTACATTGATCTTGGTGATTAACAGAGGAATCCAGGACGCGCGTTTCGTCCTATTTGGGACTAGTTAGTTGGATGTACCTCCACCCCAGTGAGTGATGTCGCTCCTACCGAGGCTCGAACCAGAGTTTAAACGCCAAAGCGTTATTCACTAAGCCACTGGGGGGGACGATAGTCACCTCTTGTGCAACGGGTGTCAGTTGTTTTAATGATACTTGCAGGGCCTTACAGGGCCTGTATAGGAAATTACAAGTATCATTACTAATAACTAAAGATCTCTTAACAAAATACGGTTGAACTAATATTCTGTACTCATAAGATTTATTCACACACCGTTCATTCGTACAAAGGAAATTTGAAAACAGAGACTAACTAATCAGCTGTAATACACGAATTTCATTTAACTAACCAACCTGTAAGTATAAGCAAACACTTGTAGTGCGATATCTGAATGCCCAGGTTGTTTTCAAAACTAAAGTTTCATTGGAAAATACCTTATCACCATTACAATACAACACTAATTCGATAATTGTACTGCCAAACAACGCCTGGTCGAAGAAGGAAATCCTTCTAAACACTAATGTCAAAGAATCGATCGAAGTAACATGCATTCATACATTCACATTGTATCTTAACCTTGGATTGCATTATCATCTACTTTTTTAAGCTATACATCCTCTTTTCTGGTTCTTCAAATTTCCCTCCCCCTTGTAACCTCGCTTCCTCAAATACCTGATGTGAAATGCAAAAATATAGACTGACACTCAGCTATACCATGTCTTTTGTTGTACGTGTGTGTGTGTGTGTGTCAATTAAAACCCAAGCAAATGGATAAAAACACAAATTTAAGCCAGATGCACACAAGTAAGATGGAAATTGCGACATCATACAGTTCAATACCGGATTTATCATGATAATCCGAGATAAGTGACTGTTAGTATTTCACTATGCCAGTCGCTCACAAAAGACCTGTTATTTCAATCTAGAAATAGAGAACAAGTAAATACGGAGACATACTGATTGATTGAACATCAGACAGTAAAAAATAACTTCGGCTGACATATTTCAAAGTTCAACTAAAAACAGTAATCAATTTTGAAAGATTTCATATTGTGAATAAAAACCTATCGTATCAACTGTGATCATACCATACATAGCCAGTATATATGGATATCATACGATATTATAGTTTCTGTTATTTACTATATAAGCCTGATGAGGAATAATATATTATCACCGAAAATTGGTTGTAATTTGCAGTGCACACGATTTTATTTTCAGTACAGGCAGATGACAAAAGTTCCTTAAGGATTCTCATGAGAAAATGAAACTAGAAATAATCTTTTCATATTATAGTTGTTTTACCAACCAGCAGATATTGAGGTATTTTTTAAGGGTTACGACCCAACTACAAAAGAGACTGATCAGGAACCGACTAACCCTTTGAGAAGAGCATGATAGTCTAAATGGAGTCACGTAAAAAGTCATAAATCTGTCAAGATTTCCATAACGTTCGTCTAAAGACATGCAGTAGTTATTTTTTCAATCCCTAACTTTCACACAACGAGAGGTTTGGCTTGTTGAATTAAACATTCACGTTTTAACTAACCGGTACAAATTTCAAATCTTATTTGACTTATGTCAGCCTGGACAAGCAAACAAATCAAAATGGAACATGACACAGAAGTGCATCAGCTCACGTAGTGGCTCTAGCACATAGTATTTTTTAAAATAAAGACTTCCATCAACAAACTGAGTTTTTATGAAGGATTCGATATGATTCAGGGTCAAGAGCACAAAACAGTACCATATGCCAAAGTAAAACGAACTTCGATCGTCCTTGTATGGTGTCACGGTTAAGTCAGACAGATAGATCCAACAAAAAATCCAGCTGCGAGTTTGATAAAACGAGGATATATATTTTTTAGATAATTACTTCTGGATATCCTACTTGAAAAGTTTGGTAATGATGACATCAACTTAACGAGCAGCAAAATCAGACAAACAGACATTATTGACGTAGAATCTTGCATACAGGTGCATTGGTTCATGCTGCCACACTTCGCAGCAGTTCAAAAAGAACAAGTGAATAGAAAAGGAGTGATATCAAAGCAGAAAAAGTTGTGTAAGAGAACAAACAATCTGAAAATAACAGTTAGTGCGAATATTCGAAATTTAGAAGACGTCAAGGAGTGAATACACCTGCGTCATTGTGACCGATTTTCAATCATATCACCCAGTATCCCCAACCACTGATTCCTTTCGTCTCGAGGACCCCAACCAGGCAGTCTACATCTCCCTACACTATTCAGACCAACAGTAACGGACTTCGTCGAATGGTGCCACGCCTTCGTCTGGTCACCCTGAATCGCATTCCAACTTCCCTAGCATTCCATGTCGAGGTAGGCACAATACATGTTCAAGCCATCTCAGTCGATTAAGGTTCACAACCTTATCAATCAACTTGGCTGGCTTGTCCAGTACTCTTCCACCTGACCTCAACATTCCTCACACGATGATTCCACCAAACGCAAGTAATGCTACAAATCAAATTTCTCCAGATGAAGGATGGCACAACAGCCTAGGTGATGGAAAAACAAACAGACAATGTCAACATAGGACCAGGAATTACTGCATAGCAATTCAAGTTATCACACATACCGAGACATCAATCGAGAATGAACTAAGACGAAAGATGAAGAAATGAAGAAGGCAGTCAAAAGTAGTAGGAAATCGTAAAAAGAGAGCAAGGGTGAATGAGAGAATAGTGAGATCGAGCATGACGATCAATATGAAGATAGTCTTTGGATACATCTGCGCCATTTAGGTCAATTCTAAGTCATATCACCTAGTCCCCAACCATTGGCTTCTATTGTCATGCAGGAAGTCTACATTTTCCTACACTGCTCAGATCAATAGTCAAAGGCTTCCTGCACTGATGTCATGTTTTAATCTGGTCACCCTTAACCCTTTTCCAGTGGTTGCAGACCAGTCCGGGAGCATTATCTCACACTTGACAGGTGAGAAACGTATATTAGTCAGTTATACTCATATTTTTGCACAACGTATTCACAAGACCCTGCACCTTCCCAGCGTACTCACCTGGTAGGACAATGTCGTCTGCATGTCCCCAAGTCCATCAGATGACCTCTACGGTGTAGGTCAATCAGTCCTTGAGAAGTCAGGCGTACTTAAGGTGATCTCTATTAGTACGTCCATAACGAAGTTAAATACGAACGGTGACAGTGGGCATTCTTGGCGGACATCGATTGTCGCCAATTCTGATGACAACTCTCTATAAGCCCTTACACGGCTGTGTGATTTCAAGTACAGAGCTTTTATAAGCATCGCATACTTCCTAGATACTCCCTTCACAGTTCGACACTACTACAATAACTCACAGTTGACTGAGTCAAATGCCATCCTTCAGGTCAAGAAACGTGGTAATTGTCGGCCACTGGCCGGTAAATGTGTCTGTGTTCTAGAACTAGTTAGTAGAAGCTTTTCAAAAATAATTTAAATTAATAGATTAAAAATGTAGAATCAGTGACTCGATGCTTAAAAATTAAGAAACTAATTGATCGAATCTCCAGTACAGTTTATAAACTGTTAACAAGTTTGCTTACAGAAATTCATGAAAATATAATTTCGTTAGCTACATACACAATAACCCAGGTTATCTGTTAAGCGAATAGTCAAAAAAAGATAAACGATGGAAAGTAGGAATACTCACGAGTCTGTGGGAATATCATTCAATTCAAACTGAACATGGATTGCTGCACAGCTAAATCTTAATACACACAGACAGAGACAGACGAAATAAATGTAGAACTTCGTACATAAGTACATCAGCTCCAGCTTTTATATTTCACAGAAGGATGCAAAGAAAAGGTGGATAGGAAAATAGTGAACCTGAATCCTCTTCCAAATTAATCCAACTTCTCCTAGCATTCAACGGTGAGGTAGGCGGTGATTCGATTCAAGTTCACAACCTTATCAATCAACTTGGCTGGCTTGTCCAGTACTCTTCGCCTAACCTCAAAATTCCTCATACGGCAATTCCGCCAAGCGCAAGCAATGCTATGAAGGCATCTGAGATCAAAACCCTGTAATCGCTTTGTATCTTCTACTTTTAAGGAACATTTCTCATAGCCGTATAACAGAAAAGAATGGATTGCAGTGCAGTGCAGTGCCAAACTGGCCTTTGCTACCTACACACACAAAGAAAACTGAGCTTATAACTAATTATTAAAGATTTATGATATCGTTACGATGAATTACAGTTATAAAACCGGATTGACTGCTATGATCTGGCAAGATCTATCAACAGTGTGATGAACGACCTACATGTTTACAAAATTCCAACCTGACAACAGAAGGAAGACTGATTAGGTACGCTAACCAATTCATATCTCCAGAGTTACACTAACCCGAATGCGCAGTCACCCAGTAGAAATGATACATTGATTGTTGTCGAACTATACCATCCGCGGTGCACACCGCCAATCCTGGTGCCTATTGAGATCAGGTTATACAGAAAAACGGTTTGCTCAAATTATGCAACAGTTGCCAACCAAGAACAACTAGGGATTATTCGTCCAAGTTGACGGGGTTGACACATTTACGCCCGTAACTTCTTCATCAAGTACTCTTTCTTTTCATCTGTCCATCCATCTGCATAACAATCTCAACGGGTACAAAAATTCACACAAAAAGTGCAAGCTTTTATAGTACTAACCTGTATTTCCCATCCTGAAGCATCCAAGCCTGGAATACTACCAGAAATATTTAAGCACTTTTCATCTCCAGTGTAGTTCATCAAAGAGAGAACAGCTTTTGCAAACAAAGCAACACTAGTCTCAGCCGGTTGCTGAGGATCGTATGTGGATAAGCCAGAACATATATACTGCATGATAAATGAAAAAAAATGAATTAAATAGTTCAAAGACAAATGTTTAAAAAAATACTAAGTACAAGCAGTAAAACAACTGTCCGAATAGAATCGAGCATAAGAACATTTTAAACAAAGTCATGAGAAAAATTGATAAGCCACACAAGAAATTCTCAATCTTCAGACTGAAGTACACGTTAGATGACATATCTGATCACTTATCTATGTAAGTTCATCGCTTGGTATCACAATGATCCCGAAAAAAGTACATCGGCTTTTTGGTGAAACAAACCTCAGTAAATAAAGAAATATGTTGTAAATATTTTGAAAGAATAGAAGTAATTGAATAATATCCTACTTCGGCATAAACAACTACTACAAACTGAAGAAAAGGATGAAGTTTGATGGAGCACATTTCAGAAGGGAGCCAAAAAGTATCCATTTCCTTGGTGGATTTCTTTAGAAATAAGCAGATAACTGGATGCAACAATGTTCTCAACTGCCAATCAAACCTTTCTAATTGATTTAACTAAGATTCTGAAACTCCTAACATTGCGTATAGACCATTCTCTCCTTACTAACAACGTATAAAGGCCTATGAATATGCTAAGAGCTTATTTTAAAATACATGTTTTTAGTTGCTCATTATTTCCGCATTCCAAGTCACAAAACTGGTTACTATCATTCTTTTATCAAGATATCCTGTTCCTATTAAAAAAATGATTTTATTAAAACCAACTTCATTCTTCATACCTTCTTCTGCTTTCCAAATTGACTCTCAAGACGTGACAATGATGCCGGCGAAAATTATGACGGAAGATCTCAGTTATATTATGCTCCTTTCACAACATATATGTAAGGCTACCACAAATAACACTTATCTTAATGTGAACTATGGAAAAGTAACATCTTTCTGCTCAACAACTAAGTTTCCAAGGACCCCAAATCCTTCATAAATGAGCAATTAATAATGATAATAATAGGTCTAGTAATTAAAAACATGTAAGTCAAGTCTACAAAGTGCAGTCCAAAGACATAATTCTATACAAGATTTGATCCAGTAACATATAATGGCTGACAAAATGTCGTCTAGTCAAAGAAAACTGACGCTTTTGACCACAAAGTTAACTGAAATCAAATCTAAATATTTCTGAATACCCAGAAAGAATTCAATGAATTCATATAAAAATCATAAATTGATATAATAAGGATGAAATGCACAAAATATAAAATTTAATAAATACCTTAACTGGCCATGCGGGTAAACTACCGAGGAAACTAGTCGCATAAGGATAATTAACCATAGATATAGTACCCAAATAATCAGCAAGATAGTCTATTAAATCTTGAACATTATTTATAGGAGTACAAACATTGAACATATTGGATAGTAATTCTTTTCCATCAGCTAATAAATAGAACAATTGTAAAAAGTTAAGATACCTTTTAAATAAATAAAAAAAACATATAAATCTTAGAGTTTTAACATGGAGGTTGTTTGATGTTCTCTTGGATTTGGTATTTTATCATGAACATATTTTATCACTAAGCTTTGTAACATCAACAGTAACTTTACAAAGTGATGGATTTTAACAGTCAATATCAATAACATCTAAAACTCAAAGAAACACACTATAACAGTTTTTATCCTCATCCCGAGATACGAATATGCCCTACTATTTCAAAAAGCATCAACATTTTTAATATAAGGTTAGTTTGTAATTTCATGTATTTATTAGTATAAAGAGAAATACTTTTAGAGTAGTTGAATAACGAGAAACAAATCAACCAAGTATGATGATAATAAATATTCAGTATTTTACAATATCCAAATACAGCCAACTAGTAGTTATGAAAAAGACCTGGCAGGGTACATATATATGGTGACAATCAAACATTTATACTAGATAAGAACGAACAAATAAACAAATCCAAAATTCTATCATCATAATGATGTCATAGTTTTGAAAGTAACAATAGTAAACACAAACAAGCTGTTAGTAAGTGAATTCGACTGTGACAACAAACTAACGTCAGTCACTTTATCTACAAAGAAGGCAAAGTTAGTTTATTTTAGTCATGTACTGCGCATGCAGGTGAACCATATACCTCTTACGTTCTATTTTAACAGAAACAAGATTAGGTTATAAGAAAACTGAAAGTGACCTGACCATCTATTGAGTCTCTGATTGCTTAGTCTGAGCAGTGTAGACAAAAGTAAGTGTTGCGTGATCGAAGTTTGAAAGACATCAGTAATCGACAGTTGAAAACTCAGTGAAATGGAACATAATTCATAGGACTCACTCAGATGCATTGAATATTTCACAACTGAATTTTCAGACCATCATGAACACATCTATGGTAAAGTTAGATAGATAAACAGATACCAATGAGCACAAGCAACTATCCACATAGTTCAACGTAGGCTAACACTACTGTAGATGTTCGAGTATAAAGTCTTCAACAAGGCCACATGCTTTCAACCTAGTGCTTTCAGTGACAAATATTGCCTTAAGACCTCCTGATCAATATAATCCATTACCGTATTTGGGTCAAAAAATCTACCGGGTGTCGGTTGTCAATGCATATTCCTATTTTTCAAAATCTGATGAAGGTTGTCGATCTCGTTGATACACCCTACGTGAGGTGGAACGTATATGATCTATTTCAAGTTTATTGTTCCCATACTTCGGTATTCCATGCCGGACGATTTAAGAACCTAGAATCTTAATCTTGAAGATATTCAGTCAAACTAATTCACGCTCCTATCATAAAAGGAGTTTTCTTCTTCCTTGAAGCTCGTGACAATCAGCTTTTGAGACCAATAAGAAAGTAGTAAAGATGGATAGTGGCTAGCAGTGGAATCTAGTATGCGCATTTCGTCCTATTTGGGACTCGTCAGCCGGATGTACCTGTCTCCCACTGAGTGATGTTGTTCCCAGTGGGATTCGGACTCGGGAGCGATCGCTTCAAACGCCAGAGTGTTATCCACTACACCACCAAGCCACGACAGCCACTTCATGTGCGACGGGTATAGTTTTAGTGTTATTGCTTTTATTATACCGTCGTTGATTGGACCGAACAGGAGCCCATATGCCAATAGAGACCGATCAATTCAGTCCAATCAACGACGGTATAACACAAGCAATAAAACCAATAAGAAAATGTTTGCGACCCATAATATAGGCAATATTTCGGTTCACTTATCTAATAATTATGCATTAACTCCTGTGAATACTTCTGCTGATGATCCCCTACCAAGATGCATTGTTCTACTTTACATACAGGTCTTGTACAAATGTCAGATGAATTAGTTAACTGAATACTGGACAGCTAAAATGTTATTGAAAGACAATTCAGCGAAGAAAATTTTCTTTTCGACGAATCTTTTCCAAAAGCTGTACATCATAATCAGTTACAACCAACACCTGGTGGATTTCTTGACCCAAATGTGGTAATGGATTACATCGATCAAGAGATTTTATGGCAGTATTTGTCACTGAAATAACTAAGTTGAAAGTCTGCGGCCTAGCTGAAGACCCTATACCGGAGCATCTGCGGTAGTTTTAGCCTAGACAACTGCTTGTACTCATTGGCAATTCTCTATGGTATATGCTTTCTTTTTCTATCTAACTTTACTATAGATGTGGTCATGAAGGTCTTTCTCTACTCAGCTGATTTTACTGAGATTGACCACCGTATGAGAAGCTCCTAAATCGATCTTGAGTATAGAGGCGACAGCTGTGCTGGGCGAAGATTCTAACAAAGAATGTCAAGAAGTATGAACAGTGAGTACCAATTTGAGTTTGGGATACGTTCATTATCCTTCGAATGAGTGACTTTGCTCCCAGACTGATCTGCATCTATGTCTACTTTGACAATAAGGATTGAAGTAGTTAAGTGAGCAAACGGCTTCACTTATTCGAAAAATAGATCACTTGTGGTAGGTTGGTAGCTGATGGAATCTCGGTATAGACAGAAAAGGCTTGGTTGAATTTCGCAAACTTCAGTCGCTTGTGGTGTCGGAGACATAACAGACTGGCTTCTTGAGAGCAGGTTTACTGAACATGAGTTCACTATGTTTTGCTCAATGACTGTGAAACATGACCATTAAGTGGTAGACACGAGTTTACAGATATTCGGTTACCGTTCTCTTTGTAACACCACCAACATGTAACGGAACCACTGCAAGCAATTTAAAAGTTAGGTATGGATAACCAGATAAAGAAAAAAGTCATCTAATCATGTTTTGAGTTGCTACTAACTCAGTTGATTGTGACACGTTTTGTGCACACTGAGTTACCATGTCCCCGAATGCGCAATATTAGCCAATGTACTATTAAGTGGGAAAAACACTGAGGGTGGGTCAGGTTAGGACGCGGCATGGATCCACAAACTTCCCGACTAATGGTCTGAGCCAAGCCAATCGAAACAAATAGTTTAAAACTTTATTCCCTCACACAGACACTGATGCATTCAAGCTTTATCTTAAATGAAATACACTTTTTTACTTGCTTTAATACTTCTTTTACTACATGGCTTTCAATTTTTGTGATATTGGTTCTGCGCAATATATGGTTATCACGTTGGATTTTAGAGCACGGCTTTTGGATTTCCATATCAGAAATTTATGAGCATAAAATGGTGGTGAATCGGTAACCCAACCACAAGTATAACAAGATATTGGAACAATTACCGAAACCAGAGAGGCAGCGATGAACTAACATTAAAGCACGTTATCAGCCATTTACGTTCAGCAATAATAGTGATTTTAGTGAATGATGAACCAATAACCAGCTTACATATCATTGTTCCTTACATCATAAAATCAGTATGAAACCATTCAATGGTTAAATAGAATGTCAAAATCATCACTATTCATCAACATAGGACCAGGCATTACTACCCAACGGTTCGAGTTGACATACCACATATCACCACATCAAGTAAACAGGGCAGTGGAGCGAAAGATGAAGAAGGAAAAAGAACTCAGTCGAAGGAAATATAAAATACGAAAAGAGAGAAAAGAAGAATGAGAAAATGGTGAGATTCGGCATACCGTTAAGATGATAATGTATGTATACATCTGCGCCACATACACATCGGTTCTCAGCCATGTCATCACCTAGAATCAGACTCCAACCACTGGTTCCTCCTGTCCAAAAGACCCCAACCACGCAGTCTGCATCGCTCCACATACCTCAAATCAACAGTCAAACACTTCATACATTGATCCCATGTTTTAGTCTGTCACCCCACCGCCGGAGCCTTTCTCCAGTCTGAACCTACTTCAGCCAACATTGTATATGACAAGGCAATCGGCGACTACGCATACGTAACACATGCCCCAGTCACCCATCATCTCACTCCATGAAGGTTCACAACCTCATCAACTGATTTACCTCTTCTCCCCAAAACTCTACGCCTCACCTCTGTGTTACTCACGTGCTGACACCAGGAAGTACAGCCTATACTAAGAAGACAACCGTGGTCAAACACCAGAAGCCAACCTTCTCATGACTTCCACCTTCAACCGTCATCTTTCACAGCCATGCAGTAGAACACATCCGACTGTTGTGCAGTACACGCGACTCTTAATAGACAATCCGATATCACCGTGGCATCACAGGTGGCGTAAGTTGGCAAAAGCCAACCGAGCCTTTTGTATTCATGCAGAGATTTCATCCACTACTGACCAATACACCAGGCCGGATCCCACTCCCCAGGTAAGTGAAGTGGTCAACACACTCAACCACTACACTCTCTATTATTAGCCACAGTGGAGCACCGTTGAAGACCAATCCCGGACGAACAACTTGCATGTGGGCGATGAGAAACGCATCACAAACATTCTCAAATAGCCATTGAAACTGTCCAGGAGACTGCATTTTGTCAGCGTCTTCACCTAACAGGACTATGTCAAGTCATCTGCATATTCTAGATCTAACAAAAATTCTCCTGTGATTAGGTCAACCTCTCTGTGTAGTCATGTGATGAGAGGTCGGTTTCCATAAGAATATCTATCATAAAATTGGATAAGAATGAGGAGAGTGAGCATCCTTGATGGACACCATTCGACGACACAGCTCACCCGACATCTCATCATAAGCTCTAAGATGCCCACAGGTGTTCGAGTACAGAGTCTTCTATAAGGTGATGTACTTACTCAGCACGCCTTTCAGTGAGAGACATTGCCATAAGACTTCTCGATCAACAGGGTCGAATGCCGCCTTTCGGTGGAGAAATACAGCTAGTGTTGGGCATCGGTAAGCGTGTTCCAGGACCTGGGGCAGTGTGAATATTTGGTCGATACACCCGCAGCCAGGTCTAAAGCCTGCCTAGTTTTCTGGGGCTTGGTGTTCCTGAGCTCCATTCAGGCGTCGAAAAATTACAGAACCTAAAATCTTAGACACTATGTTCGTTAGGCTGATTTCTCTGTGGTTATCAAGAGGATTTCTCGCCTTTCTTGAAGACAGGAATAATCAGTGATCTAGACCAGTCAGAGGGGGTCGTATTTGATTCCCATATACTAGTTAACACTTCTATTAACCTGATTAAGTGCACCTTACCACCATCCTTGTATACCTCTGGAGTCAGTCCGTCTGGTCCTGCTGTCTTTCCTCGTTTCAAGCTACCTATAGCTTTCTCGACTTTTGCAAGTGTTAGGGGGCCTATCTCAATGTTCCATTCAGGATCCGACTGGATAGCGGGCAACGCAATGGTGGCTGGAGGCCAGTTAAACTGTTCCTCGAAGTGTTCTTGCCCATCATTTCAGTCGTCTCCCCTGCGAGTAAGTCGCAGACCCCTCCTCCGCTACAGTCTCCCTAACTGTTTCCTTAATAAGTTTAAATAACTGTCTACTGTTACCAATCATAATCGCTACAACGTATGAATGAAAAGTGAATTGCGCCAAAGAATACATATACTACAATTAGCCTCGATAAGTTACAGAGTTAGTTAGCTATAAATGTCATTCATAAAATTTTAAATATTATTATCAACTACACAAAACTCATCAGTAAAGATAAAAAATTACAAGATCATAAGCCCCCGTTTAATTGAAAGATATAACGCAGTTTTTAAAAGCAATAACAAACATTTATGTGAGCAGTTATGAATCCTTATTTTAAAATGTGTCCAATGTGTTTTGGTTAAAATACCGTCCGAATGCACAAACTAAAGTTGATGGTTCTGTAAAGGGACTACTGCCTAAGCCGCTGACCTGAAGGCTTATTTACAGGGCAGCGAATTAATTCCAAGAGCTGCATCCGAAGTGACATCAGTGACCAAAAGATTTAGACAGTACTAATTCCTTCTGGATCATGAAGCATCGGAGCCTTTCTACCTTCAATATTCTCTGGTCTGGTGATAAACACTAGTTATCTGCCTTCATCCTTTCACTTTTGCTATGAAATGCCTAGTACGTAAAGGTAGTGGATAGCTAGTATCTTCACAGCGGCCATGAACACATGGAAGTAAAAGAAACTTCGAGAGGAACAGAGTTTTTAGCCATTGTTCACTGTGACATGACTTTCAAGGGACACAATCAACAGGCCAAGTAGCATGTAAACGAACATTTGTATTTACTTCGCCAAACCTGATGGGTTTAAAAACAGGTAAATATGGTAGTATTAGCAGTTAGTTTACCTAAACCTGTATGCTGTACTTGCAACAAGAGCTTGATAGTCCCAGTTGTACTATCCATGATAACCAGACGAATCTCAGTTGGTAGTCCAACAAGATCAATCACTTATGGATTCTAGGTACTTTGAATCCCACTTTAAATACAGCTGTGTGAAACGGTTTGATTGGGTCGAATACGCATATGGAAACAGCATACATATCGTTCTGGGTAGACAGCACGACAGCTTAACTGAGAAAATTTTCAAAAGATGCACACGCAAACTGTCTAGAGATGAGGAAAAAGATATATGATTACAACAGTAATTTCGATTACTATTTCACGCATACTGCTGAACCGTAAAGGCCAATAACATCTTACTCCTATGTACGGTGCTAATACATGTCAGTAGTACCTAATGAAATTCAAAGGCACCTGTATCCTGAATGAAGCACTAAAAACGAGTCATCCTTTAGTAACAAAAACACAAACTATCATAAAAGTAAGACTTACGGCCTTGTCCAATGCTTGCGATATTGCCCCACGAGTGTTGTATATTTTTCACACAATTTTCCCCACCATATTTTAAGAAACTATTTGTTGCCACCACACTAAAGCCATTGCAATCAGATAAACCTGGGAACAACCACAGGGGTGCAGAAGAAGCTATAGCTCTGAAAATAAAACAAGGGTAGCATTGAAAGGTGAACGGGCTTCACAAGAAAGCTGCATGCCTTCAGTTATTTATTTAGAGCTATATTAACGGTACTCTTGTCATTGTTATTATTGTAGGATAAGAATAGCAGGTACCAAAATATACATCACACAAAACAATTAAGAAGAGCGAATAAAGTGTAACAAATAAAGGGAAGTAGGAAGGCAGCACTGATACATTAGAAAAAGATAATAATGGTTATGTCCAAGCAAAACTAGTGAGGAAACAAGAAAAATCTCCAGAAATTTACTACAAATATCTCATTAGTTTTAACTCTAAATGCTTTTCTAAAAAAATTAAGGGAGAGTTATTAGACGTAAAGAAATTCGTTCACTTCACTCTGGAATAAGTGAACAAATAGAGTCCATATGGTCTATAACTAGCCTAAGATTCATACGCTACATATTAGCAGTTATCCAGTGGTTTGTACAATAGATCATATTGATCAACAATGGGGAACTTGATATCCGGTTACATTCTTACATTAATCATTCATACAATATACGCAAAAAACTTAGGCATTTAACCATGCCCCCAGTATCTGTTAGACATTACCAGGTTTTTAAAAAAAACAAAATGATGCTTGGTCGCAAATACTGCTTACTTAAGATAAATGAAACTACGGAGGTGAAATAAAATAGTTACTGAAACCAACAAATAGAAATGAATCCAACTGTCAATAGCGCTAAATTCCGAAAACACACGTTGCCCAAGTCGTTGTTATTATGCAAGACAAGAAAGGTAGGTCTAGGTAGATGAAGTCTTAGACCACCAATAAAAATGGTTGGGATACTACACATGTTGTCACCCCTAGAACAGCAGCACTTTGGAAGAGAGCTGGAGGTGACCAGAACAAGACATGATAACAACCCATTATGTCTTAGACTGATGGTTTGAAATACGTAGAAGAGTGTATGCTGCCTGGTTGAAGTCCTTGAGTTGTTAGTAATCAGTGTTTAGAGACCAAATGACACGACTTACAAATTATATTAGTGGAGTGGCGATATGGCTCATTAACTCAAGCACTCAACTTTCAAGCAATGGGTAGCGGATTTAAGTCCCGTGCAACTTACTTCCACCTCGGCGACTAGGTAGTATCAAAGCCCCTCACACAATTAGTGTAATTTACAATCCAGTACATAAACCTGTAGTAGGTTGAGCTACAGAAGATAAGTGGATACGTGAAGTTAACTGAAGTGTGTTTTAAAAAATGTTAAGCAAGAGCAGACTAAAACATGTCACTTATTGTAGTCTCTGACTGCTGGTGAGGCAATTAGGGGAATGTAGAATGCCGGCTTCGAGTGTGACGAACGAAGTTCATGGTTAGAGAGGTGAAGTGATCTGGCGCAAAACCGACTGCAATTTCACATATTAATCCTGAAATCTCTTGCAATCTGACCGTTACGTAATATTTTTAGTTGCTTTACTTTGTTTTTTTCTGATGACTTTTTATAAACTTCGACAAAATTTCCCTACCTATTTGTCTAACATCTTTCTATCTTCTATAGTGATGTGATGAGATGGTGTAGTAACCTACACCGTTGGGTAGTATTGGGAAGTTTTATATGAATTCTCACTGACTTCCATTATTTGTCTTCATAAAAAACACCAACTTTGCCAACAAATCACGCCATCATCGGAACCCAAAGGGCATTAAATCACCTGAAATTGACCACCAGAAATGTTTAAATAATACAAGAAATACTGAAAACTGAAATTCTTTGCAATTACCCAGCAATCTCATTCGGATACTTTTGCCTAATCCAAGCAGATAGCATACCACCGTAAGATCCACCGAAGGCAATTACAGGTGATGAAGCGAAGCATGAATAATTAGCCTTAAGCTGATTGATAAGAAGCACATAATCAGCCAATGCTTGTTCTGCAGTCAAGTAACCAAAATGCTGACGATCCTTTGCAATTAGGAAAGACAAAACAAACAGAAATGTCTGATAAGACAACCAGAAAGTCCTACACAACAAACAACTAACTTTTAGCTGAACGAAATCAAATTTATTGATACGAACTGGAAGGGCTACTACGAAACAACCTAATTTTGGGGTTGAGGCAGTTCAAACAACTACAAAGCTAGCCTAAGCACTTATAACTAACTAGGTCAACGAGAATTTCTAATTCACTCCCAATGGCTGAAATACTATTAATTCTTTGTTGCTGTGAACCTGCTCTATTTGTTGTTCTAGTGACTTAGCATTTTCTAACTAAATACCACTCCTGATAATAGTGAATTATAAGACAGTGGCCTAGCATTAGCAGCAAATGCAGCCATTGAGACCTGGAAAAAACCATCTACAGACAATGCACGTCAACGAGTCACAACTTAGCTAGACACTTTGAAAACTATATCAAAGGGACCATGTACACTGAATGCACTAAATATATGTGCCAATGTTAAATGAGTCGAAAAACAACTCAATTCATGAGCAAAACAAACTTAGCGGTGAATTTATACATAAGTAAAGACTTCATCTAAAATGTGGGAATTGTTGGACCAAACATCTTTGAATGTAAATATCTACTTATATTGAACCTTTCCGCCAAGAAGAAAAATTTAGGTTGCGAGAAATGTAAGAGCAATACATATTTTGTTTCAACACCTACTGCTCCCTTACCTTAAAAGAGGAGTTTCCAAATGGAAGAGACTCTCCATAATACCTGTGTTCTGCGAAAATAACTGAAGCATTTAGTTCCTTTGCCAGTTTCCAGATAAAGCCCTAAGAATAGAGGATTCTGAAATGCGGTGCACTCACTGAATTTTCCGCGAAGGTCTCTATAGCACCTTCATTTCCTGTGTAAAAAAAGATTGGGCCACCGGATGAGAAGGACTTGTTGTTAATAAGGTACTTAATTTTAAACTCTTGATCATTAACAAAAGAAAAATGGTCAACCTGATTTCATGAGTGGATGTGCTTGCTGGTAAATATGGTTACCTTCGTACTGAAGTATTTAGTTTCATAGGTGAACTCCGACTTCTTGACCGATGAAACAGGAAAATGTCTCACCAATAACCCAAAAGATAGCGGCAACAAGTAACAAAGGAAAATCAGAAACAACATCCTAACAATTCATAAAACTGATCACACCGCGACAATACATAAGTTGCGGATCCAACGCATTAAATGTCCAATGTCTTTTATGAAGGAAAAGATTTCTTTTCACTGACTTAATTAAAAAGATTTTCAGTCAGTTTTTCATTGAGTAAGTGTTAGACAAATGCACTGGAGTTTGTTTAGTTAATATATACACTTATCCACTCGTAATTTACTTGGAGTTCATTATGGAAATCACGTGTACTAGAGCAAAGAAGCTTCATTTGTGAGTACGAAGTTTCGGAGAAGTGCTGTGAATTTCGTAACTTCCTTCGTAGAGCCACATATTTTGCGAGTTTTCATACGTGCAAGCATTCTGCAAACACAAATGAACGCCATATGAGGTAATATTCCGGAATATAGCTTCATGAAACTCGGTAATTTGCATTTTTTGAAACTTAAGACGCAGTGTTGATAGGTTGACACAGTTCAAGTGCGCTTCTTAAATTTCAAGAATCCTGACATTACGGCAAATATTTTGGGTACTGCCCGAAATTCGCTACGAGCCGACTTTGTGCTACAATTACTATGTGATTTTCGTGCCCTCAATTACGTTTTCAAACACATTGGACATTGTCTTCATAAGTAAAGTATCAGCGTGTTTTACAAATTCCGAACAAAACCGCTGAAGGTGCTGAACCTACCAGCTTGCTAGCCAAACTCCTTGTTCACATATGTATGGAGGATGAAAGAGAGTCGGCTTCTTGTTTACTGTGTTCGGTTGTTTCAATACATTATGCATTCTGAAATTTGTAGTTTACCCTTCTTGGGTGAACAACTGCATTCCTTTTCATAGAAAATGCTGTAATTTATCTGCAGAAAACACTTATGGAGTGCGCTGATGCCGTTTGCTTGACTTTAGGTTTTTCTAAATATGCCTTATTTTCCTGTAAAATAACATGCTATAACCTTTGTTATGCTACTCTGCAACTTGTAGCAATTGTAGTTGATGAGTGCGACTCTGCGTCAACCGCAAAAACATCAGGTCACAAAGGAAGGAGATAAACACGGAGTTCGCATGGTGATTCCCATTGTTCACTGGTTATCCTTTTAAGCTGAAGTGTGATCATAACTGCACCAGAATATATGAACCCTATACAGAAAAATGTGGAAGAATGAGTACCAACCCAATACACACGCAACAGGCAGTTGTACATCAGTTTTATTGCTACAATTCTGCTTAGATGGCGTTGAATGGCTATAAAACAGTTCATTACACGCCCCAACTTCAGATACGGAGCCCACCAGTAAGTCTTTATGGACTCGTCATTCATTGTGGTCAGATTAATGTTCGTAGTGTGGCTGTTCTAAAAAGCCTTAAGTGTCACGCTGGTGAACCTTTGGATTATCCCAGAAGACCTCTGAAAGACGGTGGTTTTGACACCGGTAAGCCAGTCCGCCGGAAGCCTAGCGCCGGCTATTCCACTTTCAGACACCTCCACTATGCTACGTTCACTTAATTCCACAACCAACGTTCTTCGACGCTAAGCCACAATTTACCGCTCTCCTGTATGTTGCCCTACGCCTTCGTAATGATTAAAGGGCAGGTTGCGACTGTGGAAGTAAAAACAGAATCCCGGGATATGCCTTCGAGAGATGTCGCCAGCGTAGAAAAGCATTTTTCCGAAGTAAACCAAAGATATGACCGGCCGAAAAAATGTTGATCTGCCCACTCAGAACTAGCTGTCTGCACATAAGTGTCACTTTAATGGGTTCAGTGGAGTAGTTGAAAGCCTTTGTCCGATGGCCAACTAATGGTGACATGCAAATGGAGCAGTTTCAACAGGAGGTAACTGACATGGGATATTATCGCGCTGTAGCACAGGCGTTATGCACTACAGTTGCCCCAGACGTCAGCGTTTCCGCTCGCCACGTAGTGAGAATCTGAGGAGATCCGTTTCAGTACGCTGTACTTGTGGCTGTTGATGCATGGCAGGCGACCACTGAAGAAGACACATGTATCGGAGCCTATCATAAGTGAATTACGGTTGTTACTTTATAGCCGGCCAAAGTACTCTTCACAGTTTTCACAGATGTCACGATGAAAAAGAATGTCACTTGTATCTGGAGACGGCCCCGCAACAGCACTTATAGACCCAAAATGCAACTCGAAAGGTCTAAGGGAGAAAAACTAATGGGCGAAACGTCCTGTCTGTCACTCCCTGGAGTTGGCGAAGTGGCAGGAAAATGAGTGGCAAGTGTTATTCATCTCTGAGTATGCAGAGACCACCCGTTTGTCTGGCTTTCTGGAAAGCGCCAAAGGCAAGCAGTACAGTGCGCGGAAATTTCGGGTTACCTACGTTACATTCATGTTCATCAGCTTTCAAATAAACTTATTGTGACAAGGGTTTCTGGCAAATTGTTCGCTTTCAAACGCTACATGTGTTTGCAGACACGTACATAAGGCCACCGTTGTAAGTCATGCAGTGAGGTATTATTAGATATACTTGGTATTTAGGCAACCCTTTAATGCCTCAGTTAATAGTAACAAACCGTGGATGCACTCAGATACCTTTAAAAATTTCGGGAAAAACTTGGGGAACACGGTGGGACATGACAGATTCCGGATGAAGGCTTGTTTTCTGAGGACATTTCATTGTGAGCCTTACGGAAATTTTTAGGTTTTATGGTCAAAACTTACAAAATGCTTCAGCATGCAATGCTGACAGAATACGCATAAATGAAGCAATAGAAATACTTGGCCGAAAAGTGAAACGATGCGCTTAAAAGCGACAAAAGTATTCCCTTTCCACCATTTACTACAGACCCATGTTGGAAATACCCACCAGGCTCCAACCTATAGGTTGTACTGACCTCCATACTTTCAAATTCAAAAAGCTTCTTCAATTCAAATTTTGAAACTTCTGGAGAGTACAATCCAAAATCTATGGACTATTGACAGTTTCGACACCTATTTTCATCCAATACAACGATTATTCCCAGCAGAATTAATCTATATCACATTAAAAGTAACATGCTGACATGGATATGCATCGATATAGCCATACACGTTGGTTAGATAACAGTGGATAGTTTACTGTTACCCCAGATTGTATAAATGGGTCCTTTGTGGTTGGCAAAGCCAAGAACTGAAGATCGTTCCAAGTGATAAACTGTTATATTACTAATCAGCAAACTATGCGAATGGACTAACAACGTCGGTTGGTTATAATACAAACTTTGAACACTGCGCGCTTTTGATATCGATAATGGAACCTATCTATGTGATGGGAGATGGAAATCCATATCCGTCTCACGAATTTCAGTGACTTTCAATAAGATTATGCACACGAATGACTTGATATGTAAATTACTTAATACTAGATACTTTCAAAGGTTATGAATTTGACGGTGCTTGTAAACTGGTATCCCTCGCGTTAAACCTGTTAAATGAAGACAATATTTATTATTATCTAAACTTTGATACCCTATGTACGCAGTAAAGTAACATTTCCTTGTTCATTTTATAACTAGCAGGACCTTCAGCGGTTTTTAATTGAGTTTAATGACATTCCATCAGTACCACTCAGGGCTCAAGTCTTGCAGATATTTTGAGATGTATCAAAGTGATGAAGCCTGTAAACTGGCTTCTCTCATGTTAAAATTTTTTTAACACGAGAATAAAACATTTGTTTATTTATTTAATCCAAGATCATGTCAAAAAATCATGCATCCGGCCATTAACCGGATTTTGTCCTCACTATTGCAGATAGTGTTTCGATCAAAGATATCAGCAAACCTGAAGGTATGCAGAGATGACTAACCAACAGATTAGTGAGCAAAGACTCAAAAAATTCCTAGGATTAAGTCCCATACTAGAATGCTGTCCACTTGTATTGAGTGGTATCTTTATTAAGGACAAACTAAAAATGACGGGTGCCCAAACGTATCTTACAGATAGGTTACTGGCATATGACTGCATACGTGGTTACAATTCCATGTGCGGAACCCCAAGTTTAGAGCCAACTTGGATGAGACAGCTCAAACTTAACGTGACACTCTTCTTCGATGTGCTACATGAATTCGCTTTTACAGTCAGGGATGAGTCTCAGCTCGAACACAACAGTTGTTACGACCCGCGTAAACACAGTCGCAGCGTTACAGCGGAACCATTTAAACCCTGTTTGTGTGCAAATTTCTTCACGGTAAATATGCCTCAGATTTGGAACTGATTTCCTGCTAAAGTGAAAACCTCCGAATCAACCCTTGGATGTAAATAACAAATGAATAAATATTTCATTCTCAGGTTGTGAACTTAACATGAGAGAAGCCGGTTTACACGCATCGTCAAATTGATGATTGCAGAGAAACCTAAAGGATTTGAGTAGTATTGAATGGTGCGGAAGGAGATTATTAAACTCTGTCATGATATCAAGTGTCTAAAGTCATGAAAAGAGAAGGAAAGTATCACGTTATAGTACATATACATCGTTCTCATGGCGCTTTTTTTCACACCAAGGTGGCATCAAATCGGAGCAATATCCGGTGTTTGCATTATGAGTAATCCACATGATTGACCCGCCCGCAAAACCCAGTATTTCGTCGGATAAACGTCTATTTTGGCAGCAATTCTTTTGTTCGTGGCTTTACTGACCAATAATAACCTACTTTAATGACTTCAGAAGTAAGTATCCATATAATCATTTGACCCAGGTGAACGTCTAAGTTCAGGCACTGTTCACTCCTCAGAAGTTCGGATTGATAACACTGTTGTGGTGCAAGTAATTAAAAATCAGATGGACTGTCGTTCAACGGTAGCGAACTTTACACGCATGTAAAACTTCAAAGACTTCACGTTGAAGTATGCATCATTGTCAAAAAGATACACTGGCTGTCAATTTTCTTCTGTTCGATGGGTTCATACGAGATAAGGTATTAGACGAATCTGTTGCTTGGCATTGTTATGGATATGTTGCCGTTAGGTGAGGTGATCTCTCGGATTTAGCTGTTTATACAGATTTCGTCTGCATTCGTGACGGACCAGAAATCAGAGACTAGTTATTGTGCTTGAGGTCTCGTATGTGATGGCATTTAGGGTACTGGTAAGCAGGTGAGTTGATTGTGAAGCTGTTCAAGAAGTAGGA